CATGCGCGCGGACCTCCGCAAGGCCCTCACGCTGATCCGCCGCTCGCCGTCCGTGCGCCGCTACCTGCTGGACGCGTCCTCCGCCGACGCCGACGTGCGCCTGCTCGTCACCCCGCGCCCGGCCTTCACCATCGTCACGGAGGAGGAGCAGGTCGGCGCGCTGCAGGGCTGCATCTCCCTGCGCTACCTCGGCGTCCCGGCCTTCGCCCACTCGTCCGGCCTCTCCGGCGGCGCCGTCGTCACGTCGTACGCCGCCCGCACCCACCCGCTGCACGCCCCGCAGTTCATGTCCGACGTCCGCGTCGGCCGCTACGTGCGCGACGAGGCCACGGGCGAGTGGTGCATCGTCACGCGCAACCTGCGCGACCGCCTCACCCGCCTGCAATACGTGCGCGTCAGCAACCGCCTGCAGCGCGAGCGCATCTGCCTCACGTGCTCGTCGGACCTCTTTGACGCGGGCCAGTTTCTGAAGAGCGTCCTCTTCAAGTGCCATGACACTGAGTGGCGCCAGTGCCCTACGTGCGCCGCCCCGTCCTCGGCGAGTTGCACTTGCGTGTCGCTTAACCTCCCGCAGCGCCAGAGCACTGGACTCGCCGCGGCCGCCGGCGCCGTCATGAGGGAGGGGCCTGCTAAGTGGTATGGAAAAGTCCGCGTTACCGTCGTTAACACGCTCCATGAGAAAAACCTCTGCGATATTGATGCCTGTATGGACGTCAGAGCTACGTACGAGCCCTCCATGGACTCGGCCCTCGCCGCTGATATGCAGCGTCTCGCCATCTTTGAGAAGGTCTCCGACTGTGCCATTGTCCCGGCCCCGCTGTCGACTCGCAGCATCGCCGAACCCCAGCCGTCTCCTGCGTCGGACGAGCATCAGGCCCGCATCATCTCCAGCTCGCTTTCTGATGTCTCCGTGCAAACCCCGCCCGACGTGGCCGCCGACCCGCTCGCTGAGTCGGAGAACCCCAGCTCGGGCGATGACTACTTCATCAACGCTCAATTCTACGCCCCTCAAGAAGCCCCCGTGGTCGAAGACCCCTTTATGCCTTCCATCCAGCGTTACGAAATTCCGGAATTTCTCGAGAGTGCTATGCTGCCCGCGGATCCCAGCACCCTTCCTGGCGGCATTGAGCTTTGCATGGATGGCATGGATATCGAAGAGGACTGGGACGCCTTACTCCGTCATGAGAAGGAAACAAGCCCATCTACCACCTCATCCATCATTACCGAAAGCTATGTCGATTCGGACCAAAAGGTGCCACAACCTCATTACCTCGGTGAGCATCAGTCGCAGCACTTGCAACAGCTCCACCCTTCTAAGACTCACCCGGAGACTGCCCACAATCTCTCGTCTTCGCATTCTCACCCGCTGCCAAATGCTTCACCGATCCAATCCCACTTTCAACCGCCATCATTTCGTCAGTTTCCGTGGCAACAGCAACTCTCGCCGACAGGTGTCCTAATGCCGCCGGTGGCCCCGGTTCAGTCCCCCGTTGTGCCCAAAGAGGAAGCCGTGCTCAGCGCTGAACCCATGGAAATGAAGCCCCAGTTTCCTCACCGTGGCGTCACTCTAGCTCCACGCCCCGCAGGAATGGCTGCCTGTTCAGATGGATTCATCTGGCAGATGGGAAGTTCGACCACGAATAATCCTATCCTGCAAGCTCGTCTCGATGCTATGGAGAAGGAAAGAAAGGCAGAAGAGCGGCGCAAGAAGAACAGACAGGCAGCAGCTCGCTCAAATGCAAGGAAGAAAAGCATCATGGACGGCTACAAATCGGAAATAAAAGCCGGCCAAGCTCGCATCGCTCAGCTACGCAGGCACGAACTTGAGCTCAAACAGCAGAATCAAGCTCTTAAGCGTCAAGTGGACACGTCCCATTAGGACTCGGTATGGGTTTGCTGCTACAAACCCACATTTCACCTTTGCGGTGCACAGGGTGCACCGCCGTTTTGAACAAGGCACTTTTTTGATTTTTTCGTCACCCCACTATGAATTCGTATTCGCAATTTTGCTTTTCACGCGGAGGTCTAGCTGGAATGTAGCAACAAACGCAGATCGAGTGCAATGGAGGACCCACGCACACAACGCCACCAAAATCCCTCCTAGCCGCACTCACACCAACCAGAGGCACAATTGAAAGTCTCATATGTATGTACAAAAACTGACAGATGCGCTCACAACTCTGTCCCAGCTGCGCAAAATTGTACATAGAGAACTTATTTGCGTTTGTTTATATATCTATTCAGCTGGACAACCTAGAACTCGGCTCCGTTTGTAAAGTAACTCCGTTCTAACTCTGCCGCATTCGCCGGTGGCGCTCTTACATGCCCGCGTTCCGTTGGCCCAAAAAGACTTCTCATAGAGCACTTGGATGAGTGTGACGGTAAGAACAAATGCCTCAACTTCCCCTTCGGAGAGTCGCGCGAGAAGACATCTTAGTGTTCCCTTTGCGTCTGAGATAGGGTTACTCGAGCCCCGTAACTCAAATCATGCGAGATTTCAATTTCTACATGCTATAAATAGCAACTCATGTGACTGCCCCGGATATCGGTGCAAACCCATGAACAGGAGTCTCAATAACCACGGAGAGAAGATTATCGAAGTCCAGTCATCAGTGCGCGCTCTCTCTCTCTCTCTCTCGCTCCTCGAAGGCAATGCAGCAATAAACAGAGAGGGAACATGTTTTGGGAACTGCAGACAGGCACGCTGTCGATCAGACTACAAGAACGATACCGCTACTCATGTAGAGGCTCTTAATGTTAAGTTCGCGAGGGTCAGAACTGCGTAGCAGTCCATACGTCAGTTGCCTTAGAGCAACAGACCTAGACGGGCTACGCTGGAGATCAAAGTGTTCAAGAGAAGGTGGCACTTGGTGAAGTTCACGTGAGCTTCTGGTGTGTCAAGTCTGCGCATAAAGTAAGATGTTACGTATATTTCAGGAAGTGCTTTGCTAAATACAATAATTTGGTACAGTATCTCAACGCACTATGTCTTCTCCAAGAATGATTTGCAACTTTGTTCTGATAAAATTATCTTTGCTGACGCGCACCAAACGTCCACATAAAAGTTAATATTGGTGCTCTTCAGGGTACACGAGTGATCGGAGCCAAAGATTTTCCTGACGTAGTCGGACGTCCTTTTCCCGCAGCTCGACTTCAATCTGTCGAAGTGTCGCCAGTTCTTTCTTCCTAGCCTCTCTTTCGAGTTTCTTCTTGTAGTTGCTCCTCCTTGCTGCAGCACGGTTGTTCTCTCTCCGAATCATTTGCTTACGAATTATAATCCGATCGTCTTTGTCGTCGTCGTCATTGTGGAACCTTTTCTCCAAAGCTTCTGAGCAACTGCTATCTAAGTCTTCACTCACATCAAAACGATTAGTCAAATAATTACAGTAGTCTCTCCTTATTTGTAAACTAGAAGTCGACAACAAAGAGGGTGAAGCATAAGCAGGACGACCCGGGATTTCTGCTGTAGAGACTTTTTCTGTCTCTAAATGGTCTTCATGGCTGTGCTGCGGCTTTTGTGATGCGATAGATGGCGGAAGTGACGGAAAGTCGGATGAAAAGTCCCACATTTCAACTGGGCATCCAGAAAGTGCCTGATGATGGGCTTGATTTCCTGACATTTGCACGTATGCTTGAAGGCACGCCATGGAGACTTGGTCGCGCAAACTTTGGTCAACATCTCGGAAAGACATTCCTTGTCTTGTTGTGTGAAAGTTGGGAGAATTGAGAGGTGTGGGAATGATGTGGGAATACTGGCGCAAAGGAAACTCGGTCGAGCTTTCTGGGATGTGTGCTTTTGAATATCGGAGAGAAGCAGTGTGCCTGCTGAAGCGATTGCGAATCTTAAATTCTCGCGGGTTGCGCATACAGAAGAGCGGCAGACTCTTGGTTTCATAAATGGATCTGATATAAATAAACCAACTGGTGTTGAACGGATGGGTGTCACTCTGTGACTACTTGTCAAGTTGAAAGTAGATGCAATTGCCACTGTCGACTCGACTATGGCTAAAACACCTGTGAAAGAAATATGAGAAGGTATTGATCTGACCAGCCATGAATCCCAAGAGTGTCTTGCAGTTATTTGTTGCTTATATCATGTATACGCGGGATGTGATTCTTGGAAAGGGGCTGCTACTTGTTGCTCCATATGTTTTTGTTGGTATTGCGAAATTGTTTTCTGCGTGGAGAGCCAGTTGTCAGTGCCCTGATGCCCCTCTCTGCAATTCCTGCAAAGAAATTGGAGGCCCATGCATCCTCATATGTTTCCCACCCGTCCTGTTGTCATCGGGTGACTATGCAAGTGTGCAGGAGGGGTGGACGAGCACGAAAGAAACTATTTATAGCAGCCGTTTCCTGAGCGTATGTCAGCTCATGCATGTGCACTGCATCCGGTATTTGAAGTCATGATGTTCAGGTCGCATGTATATTGTTACGAAGGCTTGTAGCCGGGCCAATTCTTGAAAGGCATTATGAGTGACGTCCGCACCAGTTCAGAACGCTTCTATATGCGCACAGTCCACTCTCATGCTACGCTTTGCATTCCGGAAAACGGCGATGACTATGGTGAAAACGTCGTGAAACGGATAATCGACGCTCGGACAACGTCGATGCAAGCTCTGTGGAATACCGATGGGGACCCCTCAAAATATTTTTAAATAAAGTTTTATTCTGAAATGGTCATGAGAAATCGTAATATCCTTGAGAAAATGCTGGAAACAGCCAAAATTTAACCATACAATCCGTGCGGATTCGAGGCAAGAGGTGGGAAAAAACTGTAAACAGGGAATAAAAATCAAGTTTTTTCGATAATTGAAGTGTGCTTGTTTTATCATACAGTACAACCCTGCTACAAGACTCAAGCTGCAGTCAAGCTTGCTACAAACCCTGTACCGGGTTCGCTGTGTTTAAGCAAGAAGGTGCGAAGAGACGGCGAAGGGCAACCAGGGAGAACCCGCGAAGAGACGTGGTGCTGTATCTAACTACTGTACTGTACAGTACTTCGAAGTAGTGGACTCCCTAAAAACATTTTGATTTGCGACCAGCATTGAGATTTCCCATTTTTCCTGTCCACGCCGGATGTCATGTTGCTAAGGGTTACTAACGCCCTTCGCACAGGCACAGTATACTGTATGTATGTGTATGAAAACTCCATCGAAGCGGCCCGTTTCATGCAAAAATGAAATCACTCAAACTGTACATGAGCTACAGGTGACAAGATTGCTTGTTCGCTGTCCGCATTCATACCGTACTGGTCCATTCAATTCCGCAGTGAACGAAGTGGGCGTGGGCTTGCGTGCCACAAGTGCAATCTCTTCGGCAGAGGATAATAACGAAGTTTGACCGCATGAAATTAAATTGAGGAAGGAGCGCTCTCGAGACAAATGGTTTCTTGCCGTCTCGCTCAATACTGTACTGCGGTACTGTACTGTATTGTTGACTAATCTCGTGATAAGTATTGTAGAAGTGCATGTTGCATACACTTCTGTTGCTTGGTCACAGTTGAAGTGAAGCTGCAAAACAATGCTACTGACTTGCTCTCAATGGCTCCATCGGCTCCCGACGACGTGAGGCTCTAGTGAGGATGAATCAGTTTTTATTTCTTCATTTCTATCAGCGTTCCACAATACAGCACTATGAGCAGCGTCTGGATACCGCCTAACCGTCCTCTCTTCACATACGAGACACCGGCTGCACCTATTTCGAGTGGCACAAGTGCGATGTCGACTCGAGGTCAAGTTGTGCCACACGACTGGCCCTCAAGCAGGGCTAGTAGTGTTGCGCTCACCCTGAGACGGGGATTCAGAATGCGCTTTCTTACCTAGCATCCTCCTAAGGATATCACTGGTGACGGTAGCGCCTGTAAAAATGTCGAACACACTCGGTTGCTTTGTTGGTCTGGCCATGGGGCGACAGTACAAGCTTGTTGCACAAGAAGTCGGATGCGTGAAGCAAACAAAGGATCATACTGTATCTATCAACTGCTTTCAATCGGACATTACTCCCCGGTCGACAGTGTCTAAGAATAGTCCTCCCTAAAAATAAGTGACCAGTGTATGGAAGAGCGATTACAGTTCTTCGCAGCATGCCATCTTTCCTGACACTTGTTGTGATGTGTGGGCCCGCACTACGCATAGTGGACGCCGCTGTGAGCTCAGCGCACAGCGTTTGTTGCATGGAAGAGTTGATCATCTCTTCGACATACGCACAAAAATGCAAATCGTCGACCGCTTCTAATTCATCAAACACACTCAGCGATTGCCGTCTTTTTACCTCTAGTGGCGGATTGTGTGATCAACGAGCGCACGCTTGATTTTTGAAAAGGACGCTTACCCTTCGAAGGGTATATGCGAGTTGTTCAAATGCTGACGTCGCTAAAATCTCGAAATCTCGCCTCACGATCTGAAAATCCAAAAGTGCAATGCTCGCCGTGCTTCACAGTTTCTGTTTTGGAGAAAGAGAAACCCTCTAGTGTGGCACAACCTCGTATTTCTCGCCATGTAGGGCCGGCGGCGCTGCGAAGCTTTTGACGCCAAGTCTAAAATCTCCCCCAGCGACGAAAGAGGAAAGGCGGCAGGGGTCTACTATGTTCGTGCGGACGGCCAGCACAGCTCCCTGACTCGTCACGTTGTTGCCACAATTTGAAGCACGGTGGCAGTATTTCCATCGGCGTATTCCTCCACCCGCGACAATGCTCGACTCTAAAAGGGCTGGGAGTGAGAGTGTAGAAGTGCAGGGGTGATGTTCGGGTCGTCCGCGATGGCAAGAAACCGGTGCGGGCCGAAGACGCGTTGCTTACAGCGCCTCTCCTGGTTGATGGATGCTTGCGCAGTGCAGAATTACAAGAGCCGGGCTACCGCACGTTCCGTCGTGTACTGCACGTGATTCGGGTCTCAAGATGGTGAACGTTGTCGCCGGAGGCTATTTTTAGTGCGTAGGCGGAGAGAAGCGTTGCTGTACGTAGAATGACACGCAGCAACCTTCGCCGGGCGAACAGGCATTGGGCAGTAACGCTCAGACTCTGAGCGTCAGAGTGCTGAATCGCAGTCATGCAAAAATGCGGCTCTTCGTGTTCGAGAGGGCGGTACGCAGGGTAACGCTCATCCGGCGGGGGGAGATGAATAGGCTGTAAGCTCTCTTACATACAACCTCCATTTCAACAGGTGAATGAAAGCATACAGAGCATTGTGTTTAGTTCTTCTTCAGTAAAGTTTACGTGTACCGTCGGAAGGTAGGTCCTGACTCAGGACCTGCCTCAGGACTCCTGAGGCACCAGTGCTCTCGCTTCTCGCCGTACAAGTGTACGCTTCTCGCCGTACAAGTG